GAAATGAGATAACAAACCCAGCCAAGGAAACGCCACTGTTATGAACAGAGGTGCTTCTGTGTTGTTCCGTAAAGGAAGGAGGATTTACTGAAGGACATCTAAGCTCTGAAATGTAAGCTTCTCCTATTTGAATAGAGCGTGACAGATAAGAGCAGAAACATGGAGCAAACATAGGAAAGGCAAACAGGAAAGGAACTCTGAAGCCTTAAAGGAGACAGGCTGATGGAGCAAAGGATTTTGGTCCTCTCATCTCCATTTTTTCTCTGTCATTTTAGAACTGGGTCAAATCCAAAAATAAACCCATCAAAGTCTATCTAAAAAAAGAGGGAAACTGGGGTGGTATCTGCACAGGTTGGAGTATTCTGGACCCAGTGTTTCCCCATTACCTGGGATCTCCGTTGCAATGCTCTGCAAAAGCTTAGTTGTTGTTGTGCGCCTTCCAGTCATTTCCAACTTATGGCGAGCCAAAGGCAACTCGACCATGGGGTATTCTTGGAGAGATCTGTCCAGAGGAGGGGTGCCATTGCCATCGTCTGAGGCTGAGAGAGTGTGACTTGCCCAAGGTCACCCAATGGGTTTCATGGCCGAGCCGGGAATCGAACCCTGGTCTCTAGAGTCATAGTCCGACACTCAAACCAATATGCCAGACTGGCTAAACCCTTAGAAGGATATGGAAACTAGCAACTGTTGAGTACAAGCATGCTAAAGTTGCTCCATGTTAAATTAATAAGGAACTGGATGTCCTGGTAAACTAAAATTTCCAGGGATCTTTCTGTTAGGATGCCCTGTTGAGGAATGTCAAGAAACAACTATTTCCTAATGCTCTCCATCAGCTTTGAAGGGTGCTAGGCTTTGCTATGATTTTGATGGTATTATCAGATGCTCAATAAGGACCAGGAGTTTGAAATGAATTAATTGAGATCCAGCCCAAACAGCATGACCAGATGTCCTCCTTTCCCAGGACATGTCCTACATGTCTGTCCAGGTGGAATTCCAAAATGTCCTCCATTTTGAGCATGACTAAGAAGCACGGGTTTGGATTTATATCAGTGTTTTTAGCTTTTAGTTTGAAACGGTCCCACATTTTTTCCCCCTGAAAGTCCTACATTTTGCAATGCCTTGTCCTCCTTTGTGGTCGTCCTGAACCCAAGTTAACTCTTCTCCGGGGAAGTGCTTCTGATCTGCTGAAGATCTGCCACTATTTTGCTCCATCTTTTTGCAAATATAAGCCTCATCTCTGGTGTTGTAGACAGTAGTTTATGCAGGAGGAGAACTGTTCTTTGAAAGACATTAAACTTTTGCTAACAGTTTATGCTGGAAATAGCAAGGCCAGGAATGTATATTTATCTGATTGCTAAGAAAAGACTTGTTCTTTAAGGTGATCCTCCTCAAACACATAATTCCTTGTGAAAAAGCCCTTTTAAAATGACAACCCAAGAGTGAAATCTTATCAGACGACATGATGTTTATCTGGAGATAAGATTTAAATAATATTTGGATTATCGGCTATTACCCAAACTGGGTGAGAGAAGCTCCATTTGCTGAAATATGTACAGAAACAAGAGCGCCTGGTTCTTGTCTGGATCCTCGCATAAGACTCAAAATGGATTCAAAATGAAATATTTCACATTTCTGCATTTATGAATATAAGAACATAAGGATAGCCATGTTGGATTAAACCAACGTTTAAGTTTTGATTGCAAGAGCTATGGGGGATTCAAAATGAGGACATTGCCCCCTAAAATAAGAATTTTTATTTCCCCCTGCTATAAAAATTCTGTTCAATACCCAAATTTCTAGTGTTACAGTAACTGAAAACTTCAGCTGAGCATTTAGAAACACAATTTAGGCAATGTGACTAACTTTGTGAATAGACGAATTCAACGTCATACAATCTGCAATGCTAGAAATTTGGGGACGGAAGGAAAATTTCAAAGTAGGAAGGCCAATTCTTATTTGAGTGCCAAAGCCCCCCTTTTGCCCACTCCAACTAGACCCAACATTCATACAGGGTTCAACGACTTGCTTATGGAAATCCCACCATTGGGATGTGCTGCCACACTGCAGAATTAATGCAGTTTGACACCTCTTTAACTATCATGGCTCCATCCTACGGAATCTTGGGGATTTGTAGTTTTTTGTGGCACCAGAGCTCTCTAACAGAGAAGGCTAAATGTCTCTGAAAACTACAAATCTCAGACTCCCACAGCACTGAGTTATGGAAGCCAAAGCGGTGTCAAACCGCATTAATTCTGCAGTCTAGATACAGCCCCAGTGGATGCTCAGCAAGAGCAGATTTGTGCAAGGATCGCAAGCTCAGTTCTGCAGTGAAAGCAAATGCCTGGGCTGAAAATGCATTCAAAGGCACCCTGTTCTTCACTTCTCGGACCCCACTATTGTGCACCTTGCACCAGATGCAGTTGGTGGATCCTGGGGTTCTAGCAAAAGGGGGGGAAATGAAGAGAAAAAAAAGGTTTTGCACACTCAAAGAACTATTCATCTCTTCCTCTGTATCTCTCTGCTCCAGGAGTTTGATGAACTCAGAGTAGCAAGAGAAACAAAGCAAAACGCAGGAGAGCAATTCCATACAGTACCTGCCAGAGCTTGCAAGTGAGTGCAGGAAATGTATCCTACAATTCTTTGGTCCTGAGGTGTACTTCCCACTTGCACCTGGAAAGGAAAAAAGGAAAGATGGAGAGAAAAGAGTTAATGGGACCGTCAGAACTTAACATAGCATCAGAGCCCCACAATCCAGTGTAAAGCATCACAACATTTCTGGAAGCACAAGTCTCATGTAGACAGATCTGATCTCAGACCAGAATGAGAGAGACAGAAAGAAGAACTTGTACTGGTCCATCTTTTAAACAAGATGTGAACCACACCATCTTCTTCAGCCCACTAAAGTAGCATCCCCTTTAATCCTTGATCTGTTTTCTCCATCCATCTATTCTGGATATACAGAGGATTTCAGATTTGAAAAAGGAATGGTTAACCTCTCCATGGATGGCTTGTTGGTAATATATGCATTAAGAGCGAATCACACCTGCATATGACCTTTTCTGAACCAGCCTAGTGAAGTGGATTCAGCATTGAGATGACAACTGGAGATCAGGGTTTGATTCTCTGCTTGGTCATGAAAACCCACTGGGTGACCCTGGGCAAGTCACACACTCTCAGCCCCAGAAAACTCCATGATAGGTTTACCTTAGGGTTGCCATAAATCGGAAACAACTTGAAGGTACACTACAATATCCTTTTGTGATCATTGTGGGAGGAGGTATTTATGACCTCCTTTGCAGAGTGACCTCCTGCATGGAGAAGTCACCTACCTCCTGTGTACCCCCCGACACGTCCACTTAGGGCCTTTGCAGACTGCTAGAAATAGTGCAAATTGAGTCCACTTTAAGGGTTAAGGTTAGGGTTAGGGAATCATGGGAACTGTATTTTATTGTGGTACCAGAGCTCTCTGACAAAGAAGGCTCAATGTCTCAGAAAAATAACAATTCCCATGATTCCCTAGCACTAACCCTAACCCTTAAAGTGAACTCAATTTGCACTATTTCTGGCAGTCTGCAAAGGCCCTTAGACATTTAGAGGCAAGGAGACTGTGGTGGGCAACCAAGGAATATCCAAGCAATGCATCCATATCCTGACATAGAATCATAGAATCATAGAGTTGGAAGAGACCACAAGGGCCATCCAGTCCAACCCCCTGCCATGCAGGAACTCCCAATCAAAGCATCCCCGACAGATGGCCATCCAGCCTCTGCTTAAAGACCTCCAAGGAAGGAGACTCCACTACTCTCCGAGGGAGTGTGTTCCACAGTCGAACCGCCCTTACTGTCAGGAAGTTCCTCCTAATGTTGAGGTGGAATCTCTTTTCTTGCAGCTTGCATCCATTGTTTCGGGTCCTAGTACATTGCCATACAATGGCATTGCCAAACATTGCCATACAATGGCAATGTTTTCCACTGTCTCCAGAGGACCCTTTGGAAGGTCCTGAGGTTCCTTTCTCATGATGCATGTAGCTTCAAGTAGACCACCTGTAGTCCTTGGTTGTCCCCACATCAAATGGCCATGTTGTGGTGCAACCCAAAGGAGGAAGATGAGTTCCCAATTCAGGGAGAGGAAGGGGGACAGAGTTCTCTCTGACAAAACTTTACATTCCACCAGATGATGGAGAGTCGTGGACAAGATTTGTCATGTGTGTGTGTTGTGTACCTTCAAGTCATTTCTGACTTATGGCAACCCTAAGGTGAACCTATTATGGTTTAATATCACCACAGATAGACTGCTCCTCCTGGACTTGTTCATCTCCATTTAAAGCCATCTAAGCTGTTGGCCATCCCTCTACCTCCTGTGGCAAGATGTTCCACAAGGTCATTGCCGTTGTGTGCTTTCAAGTCATTTCCAACTTATGGTGGCCCTAAGGCAACCCGATCATAGGTTTTCTTGGCACGTTTCTTCAGAGGAGGTTTGCCTTTGCCATCCTCTGAGGCTGAGAGAGTGTGACTTGCCCAAGGTCACATCACATGGCAACAATTTTGACACCCTGGCTACCATTTTGCATCCTCCACAATGCCGCAGGCACAGAGTTGCTCTGGGGACAGACGGCAGCTGCAAGAACAAAAATGGAGGAGAACATTGGGAGAAAATTCTGCCCATTGCTTTTCTCCTCCTAGGAAGGGAGCAGGAACGAAGAACCAAGACATCTTGGAAACCTTCTTAGAAAAATCTGAGATATTTGGGCTCTGTTCCCTCAAGCTTCTGCTCCTCCTCATGCAGCACATCAATGAACACTGATGGGAAAAGGTTCTGCAGGATTCTGGGCTGGTTTTTCCAACTCACGCAGTTCCAGGAAAGTTTGTTAGCATAAGTAGAAAAACATGACACAGTATGGATTTCTTTTACAGTAATGAATCAAAAAAGAGAGGCAAGGTTAGTGACTAAGCAGCACTTCCATGGCCCCAGGCTTGCTCCTGAGTTCGAAGCGTCTTCTATTTTCAGCAGAGTTTCATTTATTCTCCTTAAAAAGTCAGTGGCAGGACTATCACATTTTCAATCTGAAAGCAGCTGACACATTTACAGTCAGGAAAATGTCATGCCAGATGCTTGAGGAATATGACCACTGAGAAGCTTTAATACCCAAGTGAGGAAAAAGATATTCAGGATAGGTTCGCTTTTTGGTCGCCGTAAATTAGAAATGACTTGAAGGCACACAAGGCGCACACATACAACTCATTTCTCTTTTCCGTGACATCCTTTGACCTGAGATTTTGGGTAGCGCACCTCTGTGCTGAAATATTATTTTCTGCATAGAAAAGCTGTTTCCACTTACAGAAAAGTCTGAAATTGGAGACGCAGGGTGCATCTACACTGTAAAAGTAATGCCGTTTGACCCCACTTTTAAATGCTGTAGCTCCATCCTATGGAATCCTGGGATTTGTAGTTTCACAAGGTCCTTATACCTCTTCTCTGCCAAAGAGTGCTGGTGCTCCACAAAAGTACGAATCCCAAGATGCTATACGACGGGAGTCATGGCAATTAAAGTGGTGTCAAAGCGCATTATTTCTCCAGTGTAGACACACCTGTAGTTGCTAACTCCTTGCTTTGATACTGACATTTCAGATCTCCTCACCATGCTGATGTGCCT